GTCTTTTTGTTCTGAAGACTGGGTTGGTTCCTTCTAAAAGGCAAACCTTTGCTTTGAACTTAGTGCAGTGACCGAGACCATCTTCAAACAAGGAGTCAAAATTCGGCTTTGGCTCTCTCGTCATGTCCTCTATCGATAACGATACATGGACTGGATCAGTTTGGACTCCATTGCAAATCTGATTCATTCTAAGGTCAAACAGTTGCGACGTTTCCGTCCAGTCAAATCTAAGGAGGTTCAAGTTTGGTCGGTCCAACAAGTAACAGGTTCCGATCTGTTCGACTCTGTTGGATACAATTTTGCAGGTTATTTCTCCGAGCAGCTTCAGCACTCAACCGGATGCATCGTGGGCGAATGTGTTGGAATCAACCCTCTTCGGCCTTTTTGTGATTTCAGGTGTTCTTGAAAATGATCGTTATATCTGAGGCCGTATCGAACTGCAGCCTGGTTGGGATCACGTTGATGAGTACAGTGATAAATCGGCGGCGTTTTCTATAATCGCTGTGAAACTTGGCAATCACCGATAGTGATACTGCGTCAGGCTTCCTGAAGTTCTTCCTTCGGTAGGACTGCTTCACGTTTATTTCCCGGGACTGATGGCAAGCGTCTTCCTTGTGGCCGCGTTTATGGCACTTATCACAAATGTGAGGCTTGAATGGACAGTATCGTGCTAAATTCCATTCACCACATAACCAACAAGGTGTGGGCGGCTTGTTCGGCGTTCTGTTGAACGGCTTATTCCAGCCAGCCTTTCTTGCTTTTTGCACAGCATGAAGAGTATCGGCAATGCTGGAGCGACTTTGCTCAATCATAGCAGTGTTGTGTTTCAAAGTAATCAACCGTTTGCTTTTGCCTACAAGTGACTTCAATGTCAACTCTGGATATTGACCCAACTTAGCAAGGAGCCGAGTGCGGATTTGCGCGTCGTGTGGAGACTGTAAAGCACTGACAAATATAAGACACTTAAACTGGTCATCCGTCAAACAGCGTAACTTGAAACGTTCACATTCACGGTAACCATGTCTGCTAGTGCCCCATAATCGTCTGTATCACGCTTAAACATTGGTAGCGAATGCTAAACAAAGACGTCAACTCATCAACATTTTCTTTGAGTGTTGCCACTGTCTCGTTGAAAGTGATGTCCTTTGGGCAGGATGTAGTCAGCGAATCTTGAATGTTCATTAGTACCGAGTTTGCGGAGCAAAAGACGCACTTTCCATGAATAATGTTGACGGCTGAACTCCTCCCGGAATATGTCCTCCCAGCGTTTGAACCACGCCTCGAAACTGCATTCGGATTCAGCATCATAATGAAATTCATTGAGTGAATTCGTAATAAGATCAAGTGAAGCAGCTTGCGTGTCCCGTGTAGCTGCTCCATTTGATTGTACGTGCAAGCACTGCGTTAAACTTTCAATCAGTTTCATTTGTGCTTCCATCTGAGATTGTTGCTGAAGAAGCAGCTTTTAAAAATGTTCGGCAGCGAAGTTTCTAACTTTTTCGTGATTGTCCGTCGTCATTGTTAGATCTTCACTGAACTCCACTCGTGGCCTAGACAAACTAAACCTTGGAGCCGTGTTCATGTCGACTTTGCAGCCCCAATCAATGGTCAGAACATTCTCATAGTGGTCGACGCTTTCAGCAAGTGGCCTGAAGTGTCCCTCATGAGAAGCACGAAAACCAGCGCAACAGTCTCGAAGTTGCGACAAATCTTCAACAGGTTTGGCTGCCCTGAAACATTGGTGACGGACAATGGAGCACGGGTTACTTCGGCCACATTCACGGAGATCTGCCGACGCTGCGCCGTCAAGCATGTGCGGTCTCCACCATTCCACCCACAATCGAACGGCCAAGCGGAGAGCGTTCACCTTAAATCAAGGAGGGAGGGAGACATAGAGGAGGTCATCGACCGCTTCCTCTTGTTGTACCGATCTACGCAAAATCCACAAACGCCAGTTGACATATCACCAGCAGAGGCAATGATGAAGAGAAAGCTTCGCATGCCATTTGATGCAGTTCGGCTGTCCTCAGAGTCCACAGCTGGTTAAAGGAACCTCAAAATGGAACGTGACTTTAATCGGGGTATGGTGTTAAGCGACGTTCATTTAAACCGGGTAAGCCAGTACTTATACGTGATTATTGGGATGGACATGCAAAATGGACGCCAGGCACGATTCAGGGCAAGCGCCGGAGCGTCGTTTACGACTTTCTGGTTGGTACGTCATGCAAATCAATTGCGACCAAGAATGTGTCAGCCACAAGCAACAGAATCCGCCGAGCTTCCATTTGCTCTGTTGACAGACAGCTTCAACTTGCCTAACCAGCCCGTAGAAGGATCCTGTCATCAGACGAATGATACCAGACCGCAGAGCACGGAAATTGAATTCAGAACACCACAGCCAAGGCGATGGACCGATAGGCGTAGAACCCCTTTCAGAGGCTTCAGGTCAATCCCAGGCTAGCATCATACACCGCGGCAGCTGTTTCAGGAGGGGAGGTATTCGGCAAAAGGTAAAACATGATGAAACACCATTATTTTAACAATTGTCTGGTTATCACCGATCGTACATTAAGGTCGAAGCTTCCGGAACCTTCGATTCCTTCACTTGCTCGCCAGCATAGGGAGATTTGGCAGGGAGTCTACTAGTTTTACCAGTTGACCTTCGTTTTCTAGAAGCCGAAGGTCATTGAGCGCCTATATATTTGACGTAGGTCCGGCTTAGTTGTACAGCGTTTTGGCGGCGTTTTTGGCTACGTTGGCGTCATTTTTTGTTAACACGTTTTTCGTGGTCAAGATCGTTGGACTTTTGATTTTGCTTCGGCTGTGCTAGGATTTTGCGGAGAAACTTTTTAGTGTTTAATTCGGAATAGCGAGAAAAAATGAAGATCTAACACAATGTCTCAAAATACTGAAAGCGTGCATGTGTCCTAGCAATTGTAATCTCAGCGTACATAGGTATAGCGCGTGTACCACGCTCTAGGATGTACTTGGCTTTCGAGTCATTGCGACGTAACTACACTCCTGGCTCACGTAATAATAAGGTGCACATATCTCATTCAGTTCAATTCAAGAATGAGTTTTACGCACCATAAAGGATGTATTTTCACACACACGCCTTCAGCATTGTAAAAAGAATACACAAAAAGTTACTAAGCAGCAAAAACATCAACCTTGTTGCGAGATACATTTGCTTGTAAGTTCCCTAAAGACAGGTCTTGGTTCACAAAAAGTGCTCCAAATATGGGATTACGGATGCTTGCCAACCCCTTGTACGGGCATAAATGGATTTGTAACTTTGTCTGGTTGATGAAGTTGATATAGTCAGACAGTGCACCATAAAGGAGGTGACTTGCATCAGCGAGCATGCTTGAAGCAAACCTTTTGCATGAACTGGAATGTGTAGACACAATAGTGCCAATAAACGTCGGCTTTAGAATATCACTCCATCAAGACAATCGTGTCAAGAACCTATCTAGGATCGTAAAATGCTTCCTTAGAAAACCGGGGAATGTCACAGGGGAGCAATAAGTCCAGTGAAATAAGACACACGCGGTGATAAATCGCAGTATCAATTGGCGGAGGAAAGAGTAGGATCGCAAACGAGGAGTGTAAAAGGAAAGCCTCCTCACTTTTGTAAAAAAAACAACTTCATTCACATGGAGTAACCATGATAAATTACGGCTGAGCATGATATTTGGGTAGTTCACAGAGACTCGGTGGAGTGCAACACCAACTCACCATCTATGTGAACTTCAGGGCTATCCATTAGAAGTCGCTGATAGCGACGGTCACTGTAAAGGGAAAATAGAACGTCATTACATTTTAATGCATTGCGTGATTTAAAAAATGTGAGCTCTGGACCAAAATGCGAGGTCATCCAGACAGGCTTGTAACTTGGCTGCGGAGGCTAAGGTCCGATGCTGGATACCTAAGACCAGGTTATCTACATATTTTAGCAATACCGCTTCATCAGAGAGGCTAGTGGGAGAAAACGTGTGGTGACAATATGAATCCTTGAAGAACCTCGGTGGCTGTGGTGAGTAAAGCGGAACTTTCATCCCCAAGTCAGGCAAACTAGACACCTCCAGAGAAATAGTCCATTAGCCTGCCACATACGCCAACAATGGACACATTACATTTTTGTATACATTAACACATTTTGCACATCTTTATATACTGGAAAATTATGCACTATAATTTTAATCTAAAGATGCTTGTATTCATATTTTTTCGCTTTTTTTTAAACAAACTGTTTCTTCACTAATATTGTCATCTATATAATTTTCGTTTGTAGATCCATTGGCAGCGGCTTATAAATGCAATTTTCATTATACACTAAAAAGCATGTACACCTCTCCGTGGGTTATGCTATTACCCGGTGCAATCATTCCTAATAACTACACTACAATGAGGTTTCTTAACATGCGCAGCATTGTTGTAGCACACGAAAGATGGAATGGTCTCCTCTTTTTCAGATCGTAGTCCTCACGCTCCTTTTCTCTTAGGCAGCTTGTTGAAAAGCTCCAGCGCAAAGATGGAAGCGGAATACTGGAAAAATGGGCAGAATTTCTCTATTTTCACGCATTTTGCCCTTGTTATGCTCCTTTTGTGCATGGAAAACACCTACGAAAACTTGGTCTTGCAATCAGCGAGTGCCAAATTTGATACAGTAACTTACAGGGAACTTGGAAGCAAGTTGGTCTGAATTATCACACATTTTGTATTGCTAGTTGTCTGACTATCCTGATCATAACTTGCTTATTCCTCGCGATAGAATTTGTGCTATCTTGGATTGCCTTCGATCAAATCAGTATGAATATTTCACTGAGACAGTCAATTTTCTGTATCCTTTGCAAATCTACTTTTCACTCATTCATAAACCATTTAGGCACGTTTCCATTTACTTGTAGTCTACTAAATGCCTGGGTGTATTTTGCTGTTGCGTAAAATTTTACTTGGTTGCAAAGAGGTTCCCCTTTCCTGCATGCATGTATCTCACTCAGTGCTTTGAAGGAAAAGAAGATAACACAAAATATGTTTAGTATTTAATAAAAACCCATGTGACAATGCGTAATAAATGTTTCCAGGCCAATGTAGTTTGGTTGCATGCTGTTTGATCCTTGTGGTCTATGGAAATTGAAACCTCTGCCATCCGGCTACTCAAGTAAGAAACCTTGCGTAACACCATCACTCCATGGGATTTCGTTTTCCATGCGAGTATAAAAGCAAAGTGGTTACTATATTTGATTAGTGCTCTAAGCCTAGTTTGACAGGCTCATAACATATTCGATGAGAGTGAGTGATCGTCTGAAGTCTTTCTCGGACAAAGACAAAGGAGTTACAGTGACCAAACCTCATTCTGGTAGCTCAGTTGTACCAAACATTTCAAGTCTGTGACTCAGCACATAACTCGTGCATCATCGTCAACAGCAGTACCTTAGCCATTTGAACTAATGGTTTGCTGCGATACAACCATAATGACCTTCTGAACGAAGAGTAACAAGTGGGAGAGAAAGGGGACCTAGCGTAAACCCTTAATGTCCACAATAGTCATTCAGGATCAAGGCGCCTACACCTTAGCAGCAACATACCGTCACAAACAGCTGGCTATCACGCAAAGATAAGGTTGCATCGGTAATAGAGCTTGCTTGCGACTTTTACTTCCCTGCGTCATAATCAAATCTTTACCCTAACGACGGTTCAGCAATGAACCGAATTTAGGCAGGCACTCCGCCTTTGAATAGACAGAATACGAGCAACTAGTGCCGACTGCAAGCCGTCTCCTGTAACGTTTTGAGACATACACAAAGCGAGTCACATCGATTCTAGCCTGGAAGTTGGGACGAGCCAAAGACACTCAGTTTAACAGTCCGTGACTTCATTTCCTCTAGCGTGTTAGCTGGGTGGTGTGCTCGATCCAGTCTAAAAATCCATACGAGCTATCGTCATCCGTAAACACAGGGTGATAGTTTGTGATCAGTGACTGCAAGGTCGGGCTCAAATGTAACGCAGCAACAAGCGATTGCAAAGGTACTGTTCCTCCCCGGCCAATGAGTGGCGACGACCCGTATGCAATTACTGGTGTCCCTCGATTTAAATTCACGATAGCTTCGTTGAACTCCAGGAAATCTGCTCCCAATATGGGTTGTTTTGCATCTGGTGACACAATGAAGATGTGCGTTAGTTTTTGTCCCTTGACTCCCACAAGGTGTTCGGCCGTACCATGAATGCCCATTGAGTAACCGCCAACAGCTTTCACGACCAAGGGGCACGATTGAAGTTTTCGCTCCACCGATGGTTGACCAGCGACACAGTGGCACCTGTATCGATCAGACACCGTTCCATAATTCCGTCTACTTCCACCATCGCTTCGATCGCTCCCTACTCAGCTCCCCGAGTAACCATTCCTTGACCCGAGAAGAAAAACAAGGTAGAACGTGAGTATTTGGTACACGTGCAGCAGCACGTCTCACCGGACGTTGTCTTTTCCAGTGTCCCGGTTTCCCGCAAACGAAGCAACCTCCCTTGTTCGCTCCTCCGAGCGTTGAGTACGAAGCCTATTGACATCATGCACGAGCTTTTTCATCATCCGTTCCAATTTATCCAACCGCGCCACGCCTCCATGTTGTTCCTACTTCAGCGCAGCGAGTGCGCACTTTCCAGCTCTCAAGTAACCTGCGGCAACTCCTCCAGCCGCATTCGCTGAGTTGTGTTCGCAATCCAGACGCGTTCCGTGATTGGCTGTGGGACACTGGTCATGAAAAAATAATGCGTCATCTGTACGCCGTAACAGCGCTTCGCTGCCGCGCGACCACCACCAGTTGCGTGCGGACTGAGTATATCGCGAGGACACCCAACCCTAAGCGGATCCAAACCGGTGACCGTATTATTGCAAGCCAGGCGTGCAGACCACTCGGCCACCGGCCGACAACCGGCCATGAATGGATCCACCAGTAATTACTGCTTTGACGGTCCGTCCGTTACCTGCAAGACACGTTCCAACAGACTCCTGATGTGAACTGCAAACACGAGGAGATCTTCCCCTACACCAGGCCGTGTCACCTTGAACCATCGCATCCCCTCCCGGGGGCCGGTCTGTCCAATCCGGACACCAGCGAATCCTTCGCGGTGGCTCACTCCAGTTTGACTGGACATCTTCGCGCCGCCTTCAGGACTGCCTCCGTCCTGCCCATGAGGAGACCCCGCAGGGTCACCAGCTACGCCCGCTCTGCCTTGGCTCCAACCGCCCCGCCACATTCTCGAAGCCCTCCAAAAAGGTCCTCACATCCTCTTCTCCAATCGGATTCGATCCAGGGGATCTTTATGATGACCTGGGTCGGTCACGACACCAATGTAAGAGCCCGTGGTGCAAGCGGAGTTGTTTATTGTCTTAACCATAACTTATACTAGGTGTATCGGTTCTGGCCAACAAAAGATCAACTCATTTTCACCCTTCTTGTTGGAGGTTGCATTGCGCTGGTTTATTTCTGTGTCTAGTGGTTGTGCATTGTGTTGTGTTGGCGTCGCAAGCCCAAAGATGAACCTTTCCATTCAGCCCCCATCTCTATTTTGGACGGTAGCAGACCAACATCAGATGCCTGGCCCCGTTGGAAGACGTCCTTCCAAGACTACCTGCATTTAATCAGCGCCTTCCATTTCGCCCTTAGTGAGGAAAATAAGATTGGAGCTGCTTCGACATTTACTCGGTGATGAAGAGCTGCGACAATATGATGATTTGGACCTTTAAGGATGTAAACCCGTTAAAGAAGCTTTTAGTGCTCTCCATTGTACATGAGGTTACCAAATGAATGCGTTTACTGCAAGATACCTTTTCTCCCGCATGCATCAGGAGACAGACGAACCCTAGAACGATTTCATTGCCCGGTTAACTCTCGCAGTATGACCGTGTGCTTAATCGTCCATTCCCCAGAAAAGATCGAAGGCTGTATGCTGACTCAGCAACTGAATACTGTCATCGCTGACAGTCGTATACGTGAGACGCTGTTGCAGGAGAAGACGTGCACATTAACGTGGGAGCGAGCTTTCGAGTTAGCCAGAAGGAAAACTGAGATTTCACTGCAATCGAAATAGTGCTGTTCGACCAACTCAGCTGAGGTGGCAAAGGTACAATCTTCCCGACCATTGCCAGCGGACAAGCCGTCTTGCTATCAATGTAGAAGTACTTTTCATAAACTCAACTTTCGCACTTGTCCCGCACGCAGCCCTAACTGCAAAACCTGTGGCGAAATTAGGCACTACGCCCGATGTTATCGGTCGCAAGCCAGCGCAGTTATCAACGAAGATGTTACACCTGAACACCATATTGGTGATTCATCTCAGGAGAACATTTATTCCACCATCGCTAATGTTAACACTTCAAAAAGTTTAACAGTATCTGTTATTGAACCAAATTTTCCTTCCGCTGCTATTCGTACTGTCATTCATTACCATTGAAGGCGCTTTTCCACTTGAAATGGAACTAGATTCTGCTTCTCCAGTGACTATTGTACCTTTCCAAGTTTACGAACGCTACGTATCCCAGCATACTTTACGACCCACTACGCATTCCTTTTCGAGTTACAGTGAAAACACCTTGACCATATTGGGATTCATTATCTCGCCTTTACGGTTGCATTCGGTAGCTGCGGATGTTGCAGTATACATTTCTTCAGACAACAGACAATCCTTACTTGGAAGAAACGCCATGGTGGCTTTGTAAGTAGTACCATTTTTCGGCCGCATACTTGTCTCTTCCGTCAAGGTGACATACTGGCATAAACGTTATCCTAAACTTTTTCAGCAGTCCATGGGATGTATTCCATGCGGTGTGCACCGCATTCAGCTGAAACAGAATGCAAAACCTGTTGCCATTGGTTAGCATCGGCCTGTTCCGCTAACAAAACGACAAGCTGTCTCAGCGGCTCTGCAAGAGATGCTAGCAAATGATTTGATTGAATCCATCGACTGCTCTGAGTGGTTGCATCCAATGGTGTCTTGAAAAATGATGGCACTGTCAGGATATGCAACGATTTGCAGGAACTAAATAAGCAGATCGCCGTCGAACAATCCGTGTTGCCATCCAACGAAGTACTCACTGTAGGTTTAGCTGATGCAACTGTATTTTCCATGCTAGATTTGTCAAGTGCGTTCTTCCATATACCATTGGCCAACCATTCGAAGCACCTTACTGCCTTCCTTGTTCACAATGGTTTATTTCAGCACAAAGTGTTGCCAATGCGTTTGAGTTCTGCGCCCGCGCCTCGCAAAGTTCATGACTCACGTCTTGGCAAGTGTTGAGGGACAGGTTGCATACTTGGATGTGCTGTGTGGGCTATCTGATGGTTCTAGGTGCGCACGTGCGACCACCTCGCGACTGATTGGTTGTGCGTTTGTCATCAGTCTGTAAAGAGTAATTCAGCAGAACACACGGTTCGAAGTGCGTTGTGCCTTTGTTCTGATTGCCGTTCGTGCGTCTCCGTGGTACTGATACTGAGGTCGGGTCGCGGCTGGGCCTACTGCGCATATTGAGACACAACAGAATGTTTTCTATGTTTTAGGTCGCTCACAAGAAGAGCATGATGAAAGGTTACACAAAGTCCTTCGGCGTCTCAGTGATCTTGATTTGTGTGAATGCAAAAATATGTCAATTCAATGCCCCGAGATTCAATTTCTGGGACACATCACATCGCGCGGTGGCATTCGCCCAAGTAACGAAAACATCCGGGTCATCGCAGAGGAGCCCATAACCAAGCACGTTACAGAACTGGAGTCTTTTTGTTGAATCTCTTCCTACAGTCTGCATTAGTTGCAAAATTTTGCAACTCTAGCAGATCCACTACGACA